TATCGTTCTGAAACATGAATGATGACTTCAGAAAAAAAAATATCTGCTTATTTGTGACTCTCTTTCAAGAAGAAAATAATAAAAGTACGAATTTAAAGAAATACGTACATCTAGCATGTTACATTAACTACACCGACTTGAAAATAAAAAAAAAAATACACGCTTAATAAACAACTGTGATTTTTTTTACATATATTTTGAGGTTAGAAGGAAATAATATATTGCAGTTACGCGTTCGGTATATACGTGTGATTTTCAAATTTAATTATGATAAAATGCTACAGGTTGCATTGATCATTTGCTATTAATTGCATTGTCAGTATTTGAAAGCAATAGAATGAGAAGGTGGAATGCTTCATCATTTATGCTTGTCTTTTGTTTGCCTTACTTAACAAGCTTTTTGTTAGTAGAATTAAAAAAAATATAATGATACACAAAGGTGTTTATTGTCTATATATATGTCTACATCGTTTTTCATCTTTCAGATTTCCTCCATGTTTATTCGGGGAAATTTATGATATGGCAACAAATTCTTGTGTAGGTAAGTCATATGTATGAGACTAACTCCAACCGTTTTAGTCTTGAAATAATCTAAACAAAATCATATGAGTTATAATAAAGATGCCGTATAAAAGCAATTGCACATTAAAAAGAGCATAAAATAATGAGAGCTGGAAATAAAATAATTACTGGAAATTCCTACAATACCTTCAGGTTAATTTAAAAATAACATAACTTCTCCAATATGACCTAAAATTAAAAACAGGTATAAATTGAATATTAAGGTCAACAACACCACTAATACCTAAACACTGTAAAAGTAATGTAATGTAATGCTGTAATGTTAACAAGAAAGAGGAAATGCAAGACATATAATGATTAGTGGGTATATGTACGTCTTCTTGTCTATGCAAGATTGTGCAGAAGGATATTCTGGACCAAATTGTTCTATACGTTGTCCGTACCCTGGATATGGTAAAGTTTGTCAGCTTACTTGTAGTTGTGCTGAAGAGGAATGTGATGCTGCTACAGGATGCATATACAATACAATGGGTATAAGTACGATTGGTTTTGTTCAATTTTTTATGATAATGACAGATCAATTTCTTTGTATGGTATTTAAGACCTTTTTGTGGATTTTCAATGTTTCCGGATATGTAGTCAGGTTAGGTGTATACACTTAATTATTATTTATTTAATTAAATCTATTAAGAATTGCTAATTTAATGGAGACGCACGACACATATCTATAACGACTCCAAGTTGTAAGATATTGTGTCTGGGTTTATCTTTTCTTTAGGACGAAGAACTGAAAATGAGATGAAAATGTATGTAATGACGGATCATATTGGTGTGGATGCTCATTCTTCTCTTCATCCATCACAGCAGAATACCTTTCAAAGCACTGATTTATATCCACATGGTAATCAAGAAAACGAACATAAAAATATAACTAGGCAAACAGGAATAGGGGTTTTATCAAGTGTTCTGGTTATTTTTGTCATTTTGTTTGGTGTGTTCATTTATTCAAAAAGAAGGTATTGCCAAAAGAACCATGAGAATGGGTATGACACTCATTATGAAGAGATAAATGAAATTTAATTTTCGATCTGAGCGCTTGCTGGAGTTTACTTTTTCTTTTTTGATTTCTGAAATCTAAAACCTGACAGGGCATGTATTTAAGCATAAGTACTTACAAGCAGTATTTAAATGTGGTAAATATACTACATTCAGTATTAACAAATAGATAGAATTTCTTATCTTTGACAGCTTGATAGTGCTGTGTTCAAATCCTCAATAAGTTTTAAGAGTTATCTATTAAAGCTACATACATGCAGAAGAACACAATAAAAATGTATTTAGAGTGTTAAAATGCAATTATGACTCTTTTATGGCTATATACAGGATATAAAAATGACTTCTTTGCTATCAAGTTCATAATTTTTTTTCTATGAGACGAACATGAAGATTCTGAAAAAAATCAAATTATTTTATATGCGGTAGATATATGTAAGATTCTTCTGTTTCTATTCGTTTACCGAAAGAGACCAAGTACACATAAAATTTATGTATGTAACGTAAATAAGGTAACATGCTCAGCGAGCTTCAAGTACTTTTCAGAAAAGTTTAAATAAAAGCTTTACATCATTTAATTTTTCTTATGAAGTGCATATGCCAGATCTTTGGAGAGTTTTTTGGAAATCTTTTTTTTTTTGAATTCTAATAAGTTACATAACACGTGTACGTTTTAAAAAGGGGATTGTGTTTTCTTAATTATTAATCGTAATAAGCTGTATAATAAAAACATGTTGCATAATCTTGAGTACTGAGGAATTATATCCCTTGTTAAAAAATTGTTATGAAATAAATTATTTTGAAAAGGGGACATGTGAATGTAATTATGAATGCATTCGAAATGTACCCAATGAACTACAATTTCTAGAGAATTTCATGTATGTATTAGGAAATTTAAATACGACATGTACTGATGAATCTTCTGATAAAAGACAAACATGATGGATTGAACAAATATTTCCTTTTGTGCACCCAAAATGCTTAGATTGTCAAAACTAAATGCAAAAATTAAGCCTTTTTGATACAGAATGATAATAATATTTCTCAAATTAACTGTTCCAATTGAAGATATTTTAAGCTTTTATTCAACCTTTATGTCAATATCCAGTAAATGACTTTAGGCTGTCTTTTTTGTCCTAGATCATTATGACGTCATACTTATTAAAGGCTGAATTTTTCCCGTACAGTACAGTTTTGTAGAGATTGTGTAGAAAATGAAACATTTTCAATGGAATTCAATTTGAAATCATGTCAAAAGTAACCCCAATATTTGTATTCAACTTCGTATTGTTTTGAAGTAGAGATTTAGAAAAAAAATTATTGAAAATCCCTTTCCTGAGAGACTGTAGACAATTTTTTTATTACTTTTCTTCTAACTCAGATGAAAAAAAACTCCGAAATTTATACCTGACTTTCTATGGTTTTCATTAAAATTTCTTTGTTTTTTCATCTAATTCATCAAACAATTATGTCGGGAAGCTTCTTATTTAACCAAGCTACATTTGTAAATGATCATTAAAAAACTCGATTCTTAAATATTGAAAAAGGCACCATTCTTTTACCAGATTTAACTTAAATCTGATAACTTTTAAAATACTTTCATAGATGTATACTCAAGTATTCAAATATCATAACAGTGTTATTCGAAAAAAGATGGCAAATACATTCATAACATTTTATTAAACTTCAAATCATAACCATATTTGACAGAAGTTGTTAACAAAACCTTCACATGTGCATATGTAAAAAAAAAAGTCGCGATTCATTTCTTATTTAAAGATTTTTTTTTAAATTGAAAAACGGATCGAAAAGCAGACGACAATTTTCTAATTCAAAATCATAAAACTTTACATATGAAAAAAATATGCTACATGTAGCTTGTGCTTCAAGTGTAATATAAACCTTAAAAAAATATACTAAGTCAGGTAAATTGTATGAGGAAAAGAAAAATGGTAAAAAAATCAGCCTATGTGATTTTTCACAATCACGAATTCTGCATTTCCTCATAAATATTTACTTGGTTTGGTATATTTTTGTAAAGTTTATATTACACTTTTAGCACTAAGCTTACATATTCTGAAATTTCTTTTCATCGGTAAACCTTTATTCAAGTATTAAACAATATTTTGCAAATTTGTTTCATTTTCCAATACTAAGAAGAAAAACTTCAAAGAATTATCAACCTTTCTAAACCTGTAAGGTGATATTAAGACTCCTAAAATGTTTGTATTAACTGTCCTTAGATTCTCCTATATGTCTCAATGATTAACGTCATATAAGGAAATACATTCCAAAATACCATGCTTTGAGTCAATTAAAATACTTAATTAGAGAGTATTGAGGATTGGTGTTTTACATTTATTAAAAATATTTTATGTACAAACAATTGTTCTTGACAACCTTATGTTGACCTACATTTTTTTACCATACAAAAAATACTTCCGTAAATAGGAAAAATAGCTTTTGATATTATCTCATTAAAAAAGATATTTTTTCCGATATGAGGGTTTATCAAAATATTGAGAAAGAATCAAAGAACAAATGAAATATCAATTTCGTTGGTCAAAAATACATGTCATGAAACTTTCATGCATACTCAAAATTTAAGATGCGCGAGTCTAGAGGGGGGTTGACACCTTCCTCCCCCTTTGAATTTGCAGTGTTGTTAAATGCATATATCAATCCAACTGAAAGTTACCTTGGACTCCCCTTGACAACGCAGATCTGTTATAAGTTCGTCTGAAAAGTCATAGGTACATGTGTGATATGGAGAACTACCAAAATACACATGTAATATTATACAAACATGAAATTTTTTTTGTGGGATTTAGAGGGTGGTGTTGGAAGGGGAGGTTGGTTGTTACGGTAGGGTTCCATCTTTCCATTTTTTCTTGACTAAATCTTCTTTCTCAAACGTATTTCTGTCCCCTTATTTGAAAATGTTGCAGCAGAAAGTGTGTCTTCGGTGAAAAGGGGGGAGGGTAATTATTTCCTACAGTAAAAGGTTATGCCTGAAAAAATGGGGCCTGGCTCCCTTGTTACCAAGTGCCTACCAAAATATGCACACGAATAAAGCCATTTAAATGTTGCAGTAAATTTTTGTAAAGTATAACTTTCGTTCTTAAACCAGAATGAGATTTCTTAAAAAAAAAATCTGCTTATTTTTTTTAACCTTTTCTCAAGTAGAAACTATTAAAGGTGTGGATTTCAAGAAATATGCACACCTAGTAGGATACATTACATATATGTACAAAATTATTACTACAGTGACTTAAATATTAAAAACAAAACATCCTTAAAAAACTTTAATTTTAATTGTCCTTATTTTTTTTTACTTTAGAAGGAAATGATACATTACAGGCACGCGGTCAGAATATACGTTTCACACTCAAATGAAATCATAATAACATTGTCTGTGACCATTAATTGCGTTGTCAGTATTTGCAAGCGATATAATGAGAAGGTGGAATGCTTCATCATTTATTTTTATCGTTTATTTGCCTTGCATTACAAGCTTTTTATAAGTAGAATTCAAAATAATATTTGATGCATAATGGAGTTTAATGTCTATATGTATGCTTTCATTGTACGTTTTTTATCTTTCAGAGTTCCTCAATGTTTTGTCGGAGAAATTTATGATCTAGAAACCAATTCATGTGTAGGTAATACGCACGTACAGTTGTATATATGAGATATGACTCGAACCATTTTAGCCTTTATATAGTTTAAACATTATTACATGGGTTCTTTTAAAGATGTATGATAAAAGAAAAAGAAAATGTCTTTCTAAAGTAAATGCATGTTAAAAAGAGCGCCAAATGATGAGATCTGAAAATAAAATACTCACTGGAATTTCCTACAATACTTGAACATTTTAAAATCATACAACTTCTCAAATAAGACCTTAAATCAAATACACGTAATTGAATACTATAAGCCGACAACACCAATAATACTTAAACACCTTAAAACAAGTAATGTTAAGAAGAAAGAGTAAAAGCAAGATTTATAATGATTAATACGTAAACGTACTTCTTCTTGTATATGTAAGATTGTGCAGAAGGATATTCTGGACCAAATTGTTCTATCCGTTGCCCGTTCCCTGGATATGGTAGAAATTGTCTGCATATTTGTAGCTGTGCCGAGGATGAATGTGATGCTGCTACCGGATGCAAATACAGTACAATGGGTATAAATACGATTGATTTTGTTTATTTTTAGTATGATAATGACAAGTCAGTTACATTGTGTTGTACTCTAGACTTTTTTTTATTTTTAATGTTTTCCAGAATTGAAGTCAGTTTAAGGGTATATTTATTTAAATCTATCAAGAATTGTTAATTTGATGAGGACCCACGGCAAATATCTAGAACGACTCCAAGTATCTTTTGTTTTGGACGAAGAACCGAAACTGAGACGAAAATGTATGTAATAACGGATGATATTGGTGTGGATGTTCTTTCATCTCATCATCCATCACAGCTGAATAACTTTCAAAGCACTGATTTACACATTGGTATTATGAAAACAAACAAAAGAATGTATCTAGGGAAACGGGAATAGGGGTTTTATCAAGTGCACTGATTGTCCGTGTTATTTTGTTTGGTGTGTTCATTTATTCAAAAAGAAAGTATTGCCAAAAGAGCCATGAGGAAAGTTATGAAACTCATTATGAGGACATAAAAGAACTTTAATCAAAGTGCTCACTAAAGTTTACTTTTACTCTTGTGATTTCTGTAAGCTAATTACTGACAGGGTATGCATTTAAACATAGTTACTTCCAAACGGTGATTAAATATGGTACATAAACTCTATTCAGTATTAAGGTATGGGTATAGATTCCTCGTCTGTGACAGCTATATAGTGTTGTGTTCAAAACTTCAATAGGTTTCAAGATTTTCTAATAAAACTAACTATTAAAGCACTTTTATTACAATGTTAAAGGGAAATGTTTTCAGATATGAATATGTTTTAAACATGTACTTATCTGGATGAATGGAAAATGTGTTATGAATTCAGGCAAGACAACGTCATTTGCATCAACTGAAATATTATCACATGACAGCATTATAATTAGAATATATTCATACAAGTTCAAATCTTGTTAACAATATAAGAATGTTTTTTTTTATATCAAATTCATATGATTGCGCCCATGTGAAAAGGGTCCTTATGGCAATTTTTATGCATTTTGGGTTTTTCACGGATTCTGATAGAATAAGGTTAGAAGTTGTCAAATATGAATTTTTATGGTCCTACGTCTACTCTAAGTAGGTTTTTTCTTCATTTTTATCCAATATACTTTAACAGGTTAATAATGACGTCATGTTTTTCAACAACGTCAAACGTTTTCAGAGTGAACGTTAAATGATTTTCTTTGTAATTTTACAACGGTGACCAATAGTTTTATAATATTTGATATTTTTCCATGCACATTATTTTTATCTCATTGTCTCTTTTAATTGTCAATAATTATTTAATAGTTATATATATTATGGATTCATCAGTGGTGTATAGTATTATAGGTGAGTGTTTGTTTTACATTTCATTTTTCTATGACACCAGGGGGAAACCTGAATACCGGGCAACATCCATTCATTTTTTTTGTTTTTGGAACAATTATTTTCTCAAACAAAATATTTACAGGTTATCCATGCAAGAGTCATTTGATAAGCCTGTAGAATTCATTTGAAAATTATTTTAATTTAAACGTTGCTCTCGATAGGTCAAGATTTCAGCATTAACGATATATCTTTAGTTACCATATATGTGAAAATTATTTTTTTAATTACATCATTACGCTACCTAAATGCTACTGCAAAGTGAAAATTTATTTGATTTTTCTTTCTTTCTAAATTCTATATAAAGAGAGAAAAATTGTGAAGTGTGGTACATGTAACATGTAATTACGATACACAATATAGACAGTAAAAATAACAAGCAAATTCAAAGAATTGTGGTCCCCCGCTTTCGGTGTCATTGTTGGTGAGATGTTATTTTTTGTGACGTATTGTGTCTAATATGAACACCCTATCATATGTCATTTATTTAGAAATTATCACAGAAGTTGATTTTTTGAAGGATGAAAACCCTAATCCCTACCGTTAAAAAATTATGCTATAAAAAGTTGAAGTTTTTTAAAAGTAGGTCAACTCCAAGGTCAAGATCAAACGGTCAAAGTTGTTGATATCCAATGAAAAGTCTTCTCACAAGGATAACATATGTGAAGTCTGAAAGCCCTAGCCCTTACCGTTCAAAAGTTATGGTCAAGGTTAAAGTTTTTTTCATAAGTCCCTACGTAAATCTTTAAGGTCAAGGTCAAAAGGTCAAGGTTGTTGATATCCAATTAAAGATCTTGCCACAAAGAATATATTTGTGAAATATAAAAGTCTTAGTATCTACAGTTCGAAAGTTGTGACCAAAGTTAATTTTTTTTAAAGTAGTTAAAACTCCAATGTCAAGGTCAAAGGGTAAAAGTTGTTAATATCCAATGAAAGGTCTTCTCATAAAGATTATATTTATGAAGTATGAAAGCCTTAGCCCTCACCGTTCAAAAGTTATGGTCAAGGTTACAGTTTTTTTATAAGTACGTAAATCTCAAAGGTCAAGGTCAAAATGTCAAGGTTGTTGGTATCCAATGAAAGGTCTTTTCACAGAGAATACATGTGTGAATTATAAAAGTTGTAGAATCTACTGTTTAAAAGTTGTGACCAAGGATAAAGTTTTTTAAAAAGTAGTTAAAACTCCAAGGTCAAGGTCAAAGTGTCAAAGTTCTTGGTATCCAATGAAAGGTCTTTTCACAAGGGTTACATATGTGAAGTACGAAAGCCTTAGTCCTCACTGTTCAAAAGTTATGGTCAAGGTTAAAGTTTTTTCATAAGTACATAAATCTCCATGGTCAAGGTCAAAAGGTCAAGGTTGTTGGTATCCAATGAAAGGTCTTGCCACAAACAATATATATGTGAAATAGGAAAGTCCTAGTACCTACCATTCAAAAGTTATGGCAAAAGTAAATGTTTGGAATTTTTGTGTTAAAGTGGGTCAAACTCCAAGGTCAAGGTCAAAAGGTCAAATTTGGTGGTACCCAAGGAAAGGTCTTTTCACAAGGAATATACATGTGAAATATGAAAGTCATAGCTCCACTTAATCAAAAGTTATGGGCAAGCTTAAAGTTTTTGTGACGGACAGACTGACAGACGGACAGACGGACAGACAAATGAGATTTAATGTCCCCTCGCTTTCGCGAAAGCGGGGGACAAAAAGGAAATTCGGTTGATTCACTGCATCTATAAGGTTGTCTGTCTGCATTAGGTCAATAATGACACTGCTTTTTTGAAAATATAAAGGATACACGAAATATTTTTCAGTCTAGTAGTAAAAATATTTTAATATTAACCAATCAAAAGATGGACATTTTACAAACAAATGAATGAGTTATAATCCGCAATCATTTACACAATAGATAAACCCAGAATTAACATTTGTAGGATTATGTGTATGTTGGTGAAGGGGGGGGGATTTAAATGGCAGAAACTAACAATTCTTGTGAACACGATTCAGTATTGTTAATCATGTATATAATGATACCCTAAAATTAAAAAATCTGGTTTTATTTTATGAAATGGAGGGTTTTAGAAGCACACCCATAGAATTAAGTTAAAGATGCCATTTACGGTGTATATATATAGCTTTTGTTGGGGTAGGGGTGGGTTAAAGATTAATAACATGTAATTGTTTATGCCTAAATATACAGTCAGTTGAATATGACTGTTTTGTATAATATATTTCCTGACAATTGTCTGTGAACTGGCTGAGCTTTGAAATGTCGGATTTTTGTAGGGATGTAAACGTCATAGAAAATCATCATATTATTTATGACCTAATTAAACAAAACCCCCTTCATTCTAATGTTGTTTTCTAATTTTATTCTATAATGTGAGTTTTAGAGAGTATGAATTCCATTCCGGTCCTGTGCCCAGGGACGTAGCAACAGGGGTGGGGGGGGGGGGCAAGGGGGCCGGGTCCTTCACTTTTTTCCCCAACCTTACTTATAATATAGGAATTGATAATTGAAAGTCTGGTTGCCCCCCCCCCCCCGCCACTATTAGTGATGTACAGAAAACGTATCATAAATATTGGTACTGAAAAAATTTGGCCTCTAACCCCCCCCCCCCCCTTCCCCACGAAATAGGATTTTCGACTTTGTGCAACATTAACCTTTTTTTTTTTGCTTGTCAACTTTTTCGGGGAATTAAAAAAAAAATTCTCTGCCTGCCCCCCCCCCCCAACTTTCAAAAACAATGCCACCTACCTGGTGCCAGAAGCTTGGATATGCTAAGCTTTGTAAAGCCTACATGTTACGGATATATAGGACACCCCCACCCTCATCCCCTGCACTGCAGCCAAAAAACAAAAAACAAAAACAAAATGCAAGCATATTGTTGCGGTTTTATGTCATGTATT